TGTTATACACAAAACCATTACCCCTCTATAACCTTTAATATGATGTAACCACATGAATTAATGAGTTGCAATGTAAACCTAAGTCTTTCAGGCTTCTGACTAACTTACAAAACAATGTTCAGCATCTGATTTGTTGAACTCTGTCAAGGAGGATGTCCATTTGGTACTTACAGGTAGCTTATGACTGAATCCTTTCACTCTAATGATCAAACCATGCTCTCCAGCCACTAGTTTGTACTTCAGTTTAGCGATATCAGCTCCATATGCTGGTTCTGAGAGATTCAGAGAGAGGATGCTAACAAAAATCTCTAGCAGCACCACACTGCATGAATGAAAAAGGAAGTGAGAGTGGGAATCAACACAGAAAAGACACACATATTGAAGATAATAGTTTTAAAAATAAGCTGTTCAGGCTAAAAGCTTGAAACACCTAGCTATGAATTAGTTTTTTCATGCAAAGGACATACAAGAATGTCTTCTAGGATTTCTGACATGAAACCTCAAAGTTTTGTAGATTTGATGAAAAGGAAAAAAAGGTTATTAGAACTACAAAGTATAACAATCCACACCATTCCCTAGAGTACACAAGGATAACACCTAACTTGAATAAAGAATCATTTTTAATTGTTTGTTTGTAAAATACTAATAATGCTAAAAAATGTGTTAAAGGTAGCTGCATAGAAGCCACTTGGAAGATTCATATCTTTATCTGAAATGGAAGTGGCTGTAATGGAGACACAATAGGTATAAATATATTCTATAATTTTAAGGAGACTTTCATGATGGTTAAAAATTGCAAAGTGCCCCAGAACATTAGGATCAAGCATTTCTATTAAAAACTCAAAACCTACATTGCTGAGGCCTGATGAAAAACAGGTATACAAAGATATTTCTAAAAAATTGGTTCTACCCCTTGTTGCAATAGACAGTCTTGATCAAAGGTTAGTGGGCAAGCTGCATATGGGGGGTGGGGGTGTAATGTATTTATGGAGTTACAAACAGAAGACGATGCAACACACACACACTCTACTGTTGCTCTGTCTCAGGTTTTTCCACAGCTATATACAGGAGATTTTTCAGCTTGTTGAATGTGCTGCCCACAGCTGGTGGTCCATTCCAATGGAATCTTTGATGAGCTTTCTGTTTCTGGCAAATGACTGTGATTACCATAAGGTTTATAAACTACTGTTACATTGAGGCAGCTGCACTAACCCCTAGTATGCATTTCCTTTCTCTGGCAAAAATACTCCATTCCACATCTCCTCAAAAGATAACTACTGAACTACAAAGAAAATTTGAGGAAAGAAAGAAAGTCTTTATTCTAATCTGTGTTGGACATTTTAATTGGTACTACTTCATTGTAGAATAAATTTTCTGTCTTGGTCTGCAAGGTATATTACAGAGAGAGATTCTTACCTCTTTGCAGACTGTTGTACCTGTGCAGAAATCAGGTGGAAATGTACATAAGCTGTGGAGAAAGAAAAAAAAAAAAAATGCTTGACAAATGGAAACAAAAAGGGGTAATTGGGAAAAAGGGGTTAAAAAAGAAAAGAAAAAAAAAAAAAAAAGAAAGAAAGGAAAAAAAAAACTGCAGAAACAATGTCAAAGGAAAAAACAACTGCAGAAACAATGTCAGCTTCAATTCAAGTATGCAAATACTTTTCCTCTAGACTGTTCTGTTTTGGCCAACTTATTTCTTTGAACTACATTTAAATCTAATGAAAACTTGGAATTGTAGTCACTTTGCATTTAGAAACTGGAAAAGCCACCCTTCTGGTGAAAATAGATTTAATATTTATTCAGCTTGTAAATTACTAAAGACAAGTATAATGTCTTTATCTGTTTCCATTATCTTTATAGATGTTAATATTACTCTGTTTCTGTCAAAAGCAATAAAAAGGGCTCTAAAACAACAAAAAACTCTATTGCAGTATATAAAGCTACGTTTGAGCTACATCAAAAAGCTTCTCAACAGGAACTAAAGTATTATCCTACATAAAATCATTATACTAATAATAGTAAATAGTTTAATTTTATACTGTGTCTCAGTGATTACAGATAATATTTTCTGAGTATACAGAGAGAAGATGAAGGTTTGAGGGCAAGGAAAGATTGGAGTTTTTTTTGGTTTGGGGTTTCTGTCGTTTTCTGGTTTTGTTTTGTTTTTATCTGTTTGTTTTTTTAAACTACCAGACTTGCAAGCCTAAAACTGGCTCTTTCCTCCCAGGTGCTTTTGCTCCTGAGATGCTCTCATATTCTCTTAGTTAGATTTTTTACAAGACATCGACATTTCTTTGAAAAGAGGAAATAAAGTGAGTTGTGAAAAGGGCTTTCAGTTCCTGGGGCAGCTTCATGTTGAGAAGTCAGAGGCCAAAGAAACCATAAGAACGCCAATAATTGGTCAGACACTGTCTTCTACTGACCTATCTTTTTAAGGTAAATACTGTGATGCATTCCCATAAAGAAAGGCTCCAGAGTTTGAATCACTGTGCAAGCTCTTGCACAGTGAACAAAAGAGGAAAAAAAAAAATCCACTGGAATCGAAGCGGCTTATCAGGCTAGCATAGTTAAGACATTCAAGTTTATATAACCCAGGTAAGACAAGCGAGAAATAAAGATATAATCAGAGCCAGGCACCTCTGGTATACTAGACTGCATGACAAAAGTAGCCAGTTAGAATTTGGTTGACTGGAGGCAGATGAAATTAGGAGAAAAAGAAAATAGAAGAAAAGAAAAAAAAGCAAGAAAAATGCCCCTTGAGCTTCAACAGAAATAATGCAGTTGCAATGGACAAAGAAACGTCAGGTACCCACAAAGAAGATGACTTTTTTTCTCCAGCACTGGACTGACAAAGCCATACAACACAAATGGTGATAAACCAACCTCAACTTTACAAAATCTATCTATTTGATAATAAAAGAACAAAAGATATGACCTTTTCTTTACTATTAAATAAACCAATCTCGTTATACCAAAGTCTTCTTTTTGAATGTAAGTTATTGTCTGGCCTTTCTTATTCTACTGCAGGATAAAAAGCGATGGGTAAGCATTTAAGCTCTTTTCTTCTTCCTAAATCCAACACTGAGTTATGTGTCACCATAAAGAGGAAAACTTGCACACCTTACCTAACTTCAGCATAAGATCTTCTGTAGGTACCATCAGAAATCTGCAATATCTCCCTCAAAGTTGGGTTTAAAACCTCACACACAAGCAATCTGCAAAGACTGGTGCTGAAATAGGGGTGAATAGTTGGACTAGGGGCCAAGAAGGTAAGAGCAATGAAGGATAGGATACAACCGGCTACATAAATGAGACTCAAAAAATAACAATGCTGTAGCTCAGCGCTAACATCTCTCTCCACAGATGTGCCTCAGAAAAAACCTATTTGATATGAAGAGCTATCTACTTACAGAAAAAAAAGGCTGTACAATGAAATTGAATAGGAATTTAATAAGAGTAACGATTGGTGCTCCTGGATTTTGGAAGGTAGTGAAACAAAAAATTCCAATTCTAAGAAAATTGCCAATACTGACTACGTCATAGGGGAAACGTGGAGAAGGCTTTGTTTTGCACATTTGTTAATGCACTAGTTACCTTTAGGTTTCTTGAATTTCTTGTCCTTCTTGTACCACATGCATCCCTGAGGTATATTCAGAATTTTGACTGGATAATCCATGTTGGGAAAATCAGGTGCCTTTAGGGAAAAATCAGTGGCTAACATAGAAACACAACAAACAGGTGTTTATATCTGAGATACACTGTCCAAGTATACTACTTTCCAAAATAAAATTCTCTCCTCTTTTCTATGTCCCTATGTTACATTAAGTTGCACACAGCTCTTTGGACACAGAGGTAATTAATCTGGTCCCATAGCAGTACTTGGTCTCATAAGCAGTATCAATCTTAAAGTGAAGTGGACTACTATGATATATTCAAGAGAATGCTTTTTACTCTTTATGTTCCTTACAAAAACCAAAAAAACTGTGCTTTCTAAAACAGTGTAGCTAGCCAACAGCTGCAACAAATTAACTAACTTCAGTTCTCTCTAACTGCCTACAGATTATTCTGAACACATTACGACTGCTGTATTTCACTTTGTTTTAAAAATATGGTGAAAAAACAAGGCCAAACAAAATTTGGTCCAAAATGAAAATTTCTAAAAATCTTTACAAGAATTCAACACAAATAACCATCTTTCTATAGCAAGACAGATAGTGAAAATGGGCATCCATATAGAAGTATATATAGAACATTTTTCAGATATCACTTATTCTCAAGCAATGCAATCTAGGGAAGAAAACAATGACAGAATTCAATTGGACACTGATGTCTTCTTACCTATGTATTTATTTTCTGCTGGAAGGTGCAAGTCCTGATTTAACTCAAAGTCACAGGCCCACATATCAGCCCAGTATTGGTCAATGTCTGTGAAACACACGCAGCTTAGTTTTAAAATTTGTTTTGAAACAAACTTTGAAGTAAATTAGCTTAAACTTAAATCAAAATCATATGCATTATCATTCTTAGTTACCATAAAATTCTGCTACAGGCACTGCTTTTCATCTCTTATTTCCTTAAATGGAAACTTCTTTTCCCCCATGTAGAAGGCCCTGGCCCATAAGGCTAGGTAGGCTAGACTACTAAAAGATATGTAGAGAGGAGAATTGCCATTGAAGTGCGACAAAAACCACAGAAACCCTCAGCAACTCTCATGCAGTCAGGTTAGCAATAGAAACTCATTGAGCAATCGTAAAAGCTGACTCGTCAGATTTCATTCTCCTATACCCAGATCAATGTGATCAGATATTATGCTTCTATCTTTTATAGCTTTCATTTGTATTTGAGAAAAAAAAATCTCAATTCTGCAGAGGTTTATTTTACCTTCTACACTGTATTGTGTCTCAAACCATCTCTCCTTTAGAGGGCACTTTCCCTCATTGTTAGCAGACAATAGACAAAGATTAGCTCTCTGAGGGCAGAGCAGGTTAAGGACGTCAGTAATGACCTATACAGATGATGAAGAAGCTTAATTCAAATTCAGATACACACAAAAATAAATTAATACTTAGTTAAGGTTCTTGAATTTCATAAATACTCAATATACGGAACTTTTCTACCTCAAATATATATATTCAGAGCTGCGGGTCTACTCACTTCAGGTTTGTATTCAAAAAGAAGTTGATCTCCTGTCAGAAAGTCCTGCTTTTGAAAAAGATGCATGTTTTCACAAATAGTTTCAATATAATCAATTGGATCATTCTGGAAAATGAATAAAAAATTTTTCATGCCATTGACAACTAAAACATCAATTTATTTTACATTTTTGGGCTAAGTAGAGCTTTTTGTTTACTTCAGTTGTCTACTACATTAAGCAGCCATCTTTGCAAGAAAATACTACAGAAAATCTCTTAAGACAAGATCTTTTTCTGCCTATGCTCTTAGGATCATCTTCAAAAATGTTTCTATCTGATGTTTCCACAAGAAACAAGAGACGACTTGATTACAGACATGATGTGCTACTGCTGGCTGAACACAAATGAAAAACTAGGAATAAAATTGTATGAGCTTACGACCAATTTTGACTAAGGAAAAAAAGGAAAACAAAAGATATAAACACCTCTGCACTAATCCAGCTATGCAGCCTAGCTCTATCATATAGCTAAAACCATCTTTCCTTCATTAAATTACTACCAGCATTATCTTTCACATCAGTGTTGCACACTCCATTCCTCAGATGAACTGCACTAAAGTGGATATATCAAACAGCTCTCTCAAATACTGTACCTGCTGTGTAAAGGACCCTGCCTCACTGCAAGGACAAGCAATAAAACCCATCACCTTACACAGTCTGTGTCCTTAGAATACCTTTCTCATAGCCTGATCCTGCTGAGGACGCTTGTTTAAATTTAAAGGAGAAGGAATAGAGGGTAGTTAAATACCAATACACAGAGATCTCTGGTCTTTGACTATGATCATCTTTGACCCGGGAACAAAAAATGAAGATTACTTTATGCTTATTTATTTGTAATAAGAGCCTTTTGAGATGGGCTCTGCAAACTTCGACTCAGAAAATATACAGCGGTCACAGCTCAGATGATGTAAGCATCTCACAGTTAGTGCTCTTTAATTGGAACAACACTCCTGCCCTTTCCACTCCATTTCTGGGAATACTAGGAGCAGGTTATCAACGAGGCGGGTACTACATGCCCCACCGCATCTTCCCCCCTTTTCCATGGTCAAAATTCCATTAGAACTTTGAAGAAGAAAGTAAATGGAAACCATGAAGATACACTCTTCCTCTTACAGGGGAGCAATCTTTCATTTTAGCATATCCTCCAAATCCATTATGAACACTTCCTCACCATCGTCCTTCTCCTGGGGAACATATAAACCCAAGAGCTTCCAGAATCTCTTTGCATGACTTTTAAAAACACAAACTCTGGTACCACAACTGTGAAAAGCTTCCAAGCCACAGTTTATTCCCACTACTGAAACAAATTGACTTGAAAAAAATACTTCCCCAGCAAAGCAGCATGTGACAGCAACTACCATAATATCCGTGCTTAGGGCCATTACAGAAAGTCAAGTTGCCCCACAAAGCTTCACAGACAGATTTCCAGAAAATTTTTTATGATGCTAAGAAAGTTGTATAACTGCTCGTATCTCAGAGCCCTACACATGAATTCCAACAAATAAAACGGATATGAGGAAGCTACAGAAAGCACAAACAATAACGCCAATAAGGGAAAGGCAAGTCAAGTAAGCCTGGCTTGCTGACCAACCACAGATCAGACAAATACTTGTCAGTATTAGACATACCATAAAGCTAAAATTACAGTTGCATAAACATCATTAAATTCAAGACACCATGTTTTTCTTAGAGAGAAATATCCATATTTAGTGCAATTCCAGCTATCTGCTTCCGTAGTTTGAAGTGCCATGAGTTCTCTCAGCAATGCACAGAAAATTAAGATAGCTCACATGCACAGGCATTAATTAATTGCTTATCAGCAAGGTGCTCCATGTGTTAAAATACCTCTAGAACTGGATTCACCAGTTCAGCTCAAAGTCAGTAAGATTCAGTGTCAATTTTAGAAAAGATTTTCATTTCACAATTTAATAATCTGGACTGCAGTAACATTCTAAGTCATCAACTAAGATGAGTCTCGGAGCAAGAAACCATACAGAAAAGAGACTTAAGATTCACAATCAATTTACAGAAAGAAGGCTTTGAAGAATTAAAGACCTGACCCTGCTTGTGGAGAGAAACAGGCACTGACACAAGAATGGACGAGAGGATCAGACTAGCACGCTAAACAAGGTCTGAAGACTGTATTCTTCCAAGGATCATCAGGCAGAGAACACCCTACCCAAGAGTACATGAATAGACTGGCTACAACAGCTCTTAAAGATTTCAACTGCATAGCAAAGGCAGAGGTAGTCAAGCCATTAAAACTGTATAACAGTGGAAAGATGATCTGAGAAACACCCCTGTTAGCAATTTTAAAATCTCAGTAAGCAGTTAACCTAGCAAAGCTTGATTTCCTGTGGATACCTCTATCCTGTTTGGGATTCATTTCTCCAAATCGAGAGCACCACTAGAGTTTCCCTAGTTTCAAAAAGTTCATGAAACTTTCCAAAAATATATTTTTTCACACCACAATCAAATTTAGGTGAATAGGTCAAATGCAAGAGTTACTGGAGGCATCAGCATGGAGGAGAGGAAAACCAGACAGACACACGTGCATGCACAGAAAATATGATTGTGTAAGACAGATTTCCTCACTGGACTGGATACACGCTTAAAGTGCTTACAGCTAAACTAACTGAACAAAAGGGAATAGTCAGGATAATTAGGCATTATATGACCAGTACAATCCCAATGATGACCATTAGGAACTGTGATGGGAGACTTATGGAATTTCAGTGAGCACTATTTTTCTGCAAGTTCTCCAAAGCCAGAAAGTCCCAACTGCTTCCTACACGTGAAAATACTGACATACATTCAAAATAACCAAGTGATTTTCAAGTACTCTGTAGGCACATTGTTGACCGTTTCCCATCACCAGAATTCTAAAACCAAAATTAGAAATGAAATTAGGAAAATTTCCCACAAAGCCCCACAAAGATAAAATCTCTCTTGGAAAAGCATCGTACAGAGAATATTCAAGCTGTATTTTGAGGAGTCTTTTAATACAGTAGCTTTAGAAGTCATAAAGGCTAACATCTTTCTATTTAAAATGTGATTTATTTCTGTTTAAGAAGTATTCTTTCTTCCAATATCTCTTTAAACTCAAAATTCGAATTCTGTTAACTGTAACAGAGCACACAGTGAAAGTCTAGTTATAGGAAAAAAAACATGAATAACATTGATTTTCTTATAATTAACAACTGAAAAAGAGTCAAGTACCTGATCCTGGAAAGAAAATTCATTTTCATCTATCTTCTGAATCTCTTCCCAAATTCTGTGAGTGAAAAATATGTACGCATCATCCTGCAACATTTCTTAAGAGATGCATAACAGAACACTTCTTGGCACAATACTAAATATTTGAGTCAAAAAGTAATATATTTCTCTTTCTCATGCTGTCATGAGAGAAAAAAGCAGTTCACTAGAAACACGCATAATTCCTTTCATTCTGAAAGCTCAAAATAGTGAAGACTTTTCAGACAAATCTCATGAGTCCTATAAATTACTAGCCTCCTCCCTTTTTTCCGATAAGGAACAGTTAAATTATTAAATGGTAGAGATGATGGCAGAGATAAAACTTGCAATTCCACTTCCATGTTACATCCACTGCCTGTCTGGAAATGCTTGAGCTCACTCTCAGACTACCACACATAGAAGAATCTTTAACAATTCCCTTGGAAATGAAATATTTGATTATTACTTTGGGTTTCGGAATAAGGGATCTCTTACAGAAAATATTATCAAAATACAGAAGAACATCCTCTTTCAGATGCAGCTATACCAGCTGAAAAGAGTACTGCTCTCAGACCATCCCAAGTCACTCAAGGTTCTCCCTTCACTCCTTTACTGCGTATCAAGCTACTTGCCCCAGAATCTCCTTTTCACATTTGATCAAAATGAGTCAGGTTAGCAACAGCCCTTTCTTTAAACAGTAAAGACTAACCAGTCCCCTTTTGGCTGATGAAGCTGAGAGAACACTAACACTGCAAGTTCAGCCAGGGTGGAAGATGAACTCCAGCAGGGGAGCAGAAGGTGAAAAAAGTAGTAACTTCTTCAGCTGGCATAGCTGTAGCTGAAAGAGGACAGGAGGACAAATCCTAAGGGTGTTCCTTAATATTTAGGTCATACACATGGAAGTGTACTAGGATATGCACACCTAGAATTACAATCTCCATTAATCTTTTTTTCTACTGATCTTAGGATAAAGGATTGGATTCAAGAATTACCTTTTATCTGGACCTATTTTCTGCAACATCTTCAGATACTGGAATACGACATGCACAACCTGGAGACAGAAAGACAAACAGCTTGTGTAAGCTTATTTTGAAATCTGGACGGGGTAAAATGACAAGATAACCAAACTACAATGAAATTTACCTCATAGAAATGCTCATAACCTTCACCAGTCAAAGTAATAGAAATGCTGAAGCTAGAGTAACTGGAGTTCTGTTCAAAACCTGTCTCAGTGTTTCCTCCAGATAATGCAACAGCCCAAAACCTATTGAAGAGATAAAACCAGTATTAACTACTCCAGTTAAAAACTTCCTTGAAGTATGACCTCGTTGTTGCAGTTTACCCTGGTTCAGTGAAAGCCGCTGTAAAATTTAATCCAAATTGGATTAATCCAGAGAGATGGTTCTCTCTACAATGTCAAATTCTCTGAAATTAAAAAATTACAAGGCAAGCATCCTTCCAGAATATATTCAGCTCATCAACATATTTTTCATTTAGAATAAAAGAGCAACATATGAACTACACCCTAGTAGACTTGGAAAGTCTTCATGCTTTAATTCTTATTTTTAGAATAAAGACATACATGGTACCTTATCAGAGTATTCTACATCACTTAAATCACATTATGAGAATAAAATTTAAAAGGACTAATGGACATTACTTACAACTTGGCAAATTTTATTATTTTCCCCACTGCACATTTTGAAAAGAAATAAAATACATACTTTTTTCTAAGAAAAGAAAGAATGCTGCCTTTGCCTTCATGTCCGACCAGCCAGGAGACATAGAGCAGTGGTTTTACCCTAAAATGTAAAAATACATTTTTTATGCTAAGATAAAAAATTCTTAACTGGATTAAGAATTAGAAAAATCAAATAATAGATAACTGGACATTTTTTTCATAAGAAGATTCTACAAACTTAACTATAACTCTCCTCTTCATGTACCAGTGAAATTGCAGTACTGTAAAGATGATAGCTTTTCTATTTCAAAATATGAAAGAAATTCTGATAGTATACAGTGACTGTATTGAAAAATTAATGAGATTTACAAAAGTTAACCATGACATTTCGTGAGCACATAGAATCCTGGTATGTTGTTTCATCTCTCTCTACAGAATCATCATGAGCAGTAGTTTACATAAAATTAAAATAAAGGATTAGGGCCCAAAAACCAGGATTTAAGAAGATACATAATCAACATAATCAACTGTCAGCTAATTCCAGAAGCATATAAACTTCCTAAGCACCTTCTTTTTTGACTGCTAGTGCCTGCAATTCGGTTTATAGGCTGCTAAATAGTCAAGAGCAGCTTAGTGCTCAGAGACCCACCAGGACTGAGAAAGTAGGGGGAGCTTAATCCCCCACAAGTGACTGATCTGACGGACAGGTATGAGCATGCCTAATACATATATCATCAGCTTTTGCTGGGGGATGGCAGGGATTCACATACTTAGAGGAAGAGAAGGTAAGAGTAGAACGTTTCAGTCTCTACGCTCTAGCATATTTCTAATTAATTACCATATAAACTGCATAACTCTCCATGGAGCATGAACTAGAACCAGCATCTTACTCTGAGATGACTCTCAGCCAACAAAGTTATCCCCTACTGATATATTATACTGCTACCTCACTATAGTCAGGTACAGTGATCTACTTCCACAGGAAACACAGGCAACATCCAGTTCTCACTTTATATGGCCATTAGGGTACTCTCCCACAATATGGAAGATCTGAGCTTTAATCCCCTCAGCTCAGAGAGGAAACAGGTCTCACAACTGCTAGGGAAAGCAGTCTAAACAATGGGTATTACATGAAACGTAAGTAAGCATCCTCTTCCTGTCATGTTTTGAAAAGAATGAGCATTTCACTTCTCTTTGAAAGCGTACTTCTAGTGCCAGTCTTCATTAATCGTTTCCCGGCTCTAGATTCTCACCTGTCTCAACTCAGGTACCTAAGCACCACAGGGCTAAGATTTCAGAAACACATTTCTGCTTAGAAGTTCCTGTTCTGGGTTGGTCTGGGTAAAAGTTCTTTGGCTCTTCATTCTGAAGAGACTGACTCTTCTCTGACACTGTATAGAGAATCTAGACCCCAGCTCTGGTTTCGAATACCACTGGAAGTGGATTAGTTGCCAATAGTGCACCTGCAGTGCAGGTGTCAAATTGTGCATTTGTAGACCCCAAGTTCTTTATTAGATCTAGTTCTTTGGTTTTCTTAATACCAATTTAAATGGAAATGTCTTCATTATACTTTAGAAAATAACAAAAGGAAACTAGCAACCTTATTAAAGGTGACTAACACCAACATAACCCCAGGTTCAAAAAAATCCCACGGATTCTTTTGTCCAAAGAGAGCAAAGGACAGAAAGAGAGCTGAATCATACAATAGAAAATGTAAGCCCCATACAGTATACAACAAAACGTAAATATCCAGAGGAACCCCACGTCTCCTCAGAGATCCTGCAACACACAAGTATCAGCTCATGGCCTGTACAATGAAGAGCATTAAAAGTGAGATATTATGTCTATGAGAAGTTACATCTATTATGTCAGCACTGAAATATTATTCCCAATACTGTATACCATTTTGTACACTATTCTAAAAGAATCAAAAGGTACAAAATTTATCTCCTGAAATTTTTCTTTTTTGTGGTATTAGTATGAGATGATATCTTGATCATTTATTTGATTCTCTACACATACTGTTTTATAAACAGCATGAAATCAAAATATAATGTAAATTAATGATAAATACATAATTTATTGTAATGATAATCTAAACATCATCTTACCTGTAATTTCTCTCTTGTGGGGGCAGTGCCCAAGTGATATTCAATAGATGGATGTTTCTGACTGGAATAACTGCAAAAGAAGTTTATTCATTAAAAATAGAAATATGTTATTATTTCCAATCATTGGTCCAAGAATCATCACACAGATGGTCCAAGAACCATCTGTGGACAAGGTATCTTGTTTGACGTAGAAAAAAAACATACACATATGCACTTGCGTATGTGGAAATATATAAGAATATATACACTAATTCATTAAGGTGCCATCCAGCACTCTAAACCGTTGTCAGTAGGGGACTACCTATGCACCATCCCAGTGGTGTAACCGCATGACTTCATCTGGTACCTTCAATTCCTCTCAGTCCCAGGATTTTTAAATTTTCATGTGTTATTCTGAGGAACAGGAGTGAAGTGTGCATACAAACACATCGAGAAGAATTTTCATGTGATTTTTTTTCCTTTGAGTGACTGTCCGGATGCATTTTCACATCACTGATCTCTAAGCAGCATCTCCAACATACAAAGGTTACCTAGAGGAAATGTGATGATCTTTGATTTACAAGAGGAACATTTGCCACAAATTGTTTTGCATGACTTCTGCACAGTATGGATAACCTGTACATAAACAGGCAGAAGGAACTCCCACGGCTGTCTCAGTGAGCTCCTCAACCAAGAAGAGAAGCACCTGCTGTCATCATCTTTGGAACCGGTTAAGATTGGAAAGGCAGACATACGATCAGTTTTGCCATGAATGTTAGAAAGATAAGACTTAAATGTAAAGCTAGGTCACAGTTATGCTTGAATACGAAACATAGGGACCCTGGCACAGGATGCAGTATGTACATCCTGCCATCTGTACTCATATCCCTAAAGAAGTACTCACATTTCTGTTTGAATGGACCTTTAAAGAATGCAGAAGATCTCTGAGCATTTGGAAGCAATTTGGGGAAAAAAGGCTTTTGAGGGAGACTGAATTCAAAAACAGTTCTTATGAACTCAAAGCTCAACACAAAGTTTTAGTGATACTTCAGCACATTCAACATGAGTTACAGCATGTCAAAGAGCTACAAATGGTCTAAAGGAAATTAGTCATCTGCTTCCAGCATCTGCCTTTTTCTAGGCAACCATTAAGGTACTCTTTTCCGTTGAAGGCAGCTGGCTGAATGACCAAATGATAGAAACTTCTAGTCACAGTAATCCTGACCGACTACAAATTAAAAACAATTTTCTGTGAGAGGGTCAAATCCGTTTTTTAATGAAACCTATATGCTGAAAAATAATTCCCTCACTTCTGGAAGAGGATTAGTTTATTACAGCCAGTATCATCATTTTCATCTCAATTTGGGTTTCCATCTTCCTATTTTCTTTTTTATCACTGAAAAATTTCCAGTGACATTAAATAGAACCAATTTGATGGCTCTTAGGGACAGAAGAGTAGTTATGCACAAAAAAGCAGGCGCTTGCAAAATGTGACCCGGAACACTTTGAGATCAGGGAAAATGAACAGGAGAACAGCAAGGCTGAGAATTGCATCACCTAGCCAGCTATAAAATGATTGTGCTCAAAACCCAGAATCTGAAATTATATGCTCTCAGGCAGTATAGAAAGGACAGTCTTCTGCCAAAAACAGTAGAGAAGGTAGAGGGAATGAACGACAATGACCTTGCTATGCTGCTATGCTTGTAGATGAGAATAAAAGGGGAAAGAG